GCTTCCAGTCTGAGGAAACAGGACCAGCTGAGGAACTGGCAAGGTGAGATAGCCGTGGCTTGTTCTGTCTCTCTGATCTACCAGCATTGACCCCAATAACTGGCCTCAGGTTTGATTTTATTAATAAGTACTTTTAAGAATCCTGCTACACTTCATGATGGGGAGCATGGCAGTGTGCAGGCAAACATGGCACTGGAGTTAAGAGTGCTACATCTTGCAGACAACAGGAAGTCGACTAGGAGCCACACTGAGGGAAGCTTGAGCAAAAGAGACCTCAAAGACTGCCTCCCCAGTGGCACTTCTTCCAACAAGGCCACACCTCCTGAGAGTGCCACTCCTTTTGGGGGCCATTTTCTGTCAAACTACCACAGGCGGGTATGGTTGTGGGAGGGTATTATTTGAAGACAGTCTACTTCAAGGAGGATAAATGATCCTTCCTAATTGTGTGGTTGATGTAGGCTGTTCACATGATGGAATTTCTTATTTCTAACAAAAATGTAATGAGCCATCTAGAGGAAAATTTAACAAGTTACAGGCTCTGGGAATTCTCCAGGAGACAAAGTACATACCAGTGAGTATTTGGAGCATGGTGTAAATTTAATGTCATGATGCTCATTATAAGTCAAGTAGATTTATAAAAGTAAGAAATTAAATGCATCTACTGGTTAGGTATGATCTTTACTTCAAAGTCAAACACTTGAAAAGATTATTGCAGGAATAAATTTGTAATTTTAAATAAGAGCTACTTGTAGGAATTCATAAAGTAGTTATCATAGACAGCCTGGAATGGATGTTGCTCAGTGTATTTGGACATTCCTGTATCCCATATGCCATAAATAAGGGGACATTATATATATCCATGCCCTTGGTTTCTGAGATTGATCATGAACCCTGAAGAGAATCCCATGATCAATGTGGTGTATACCATGATCCAAGAAAGACAGAATCAGAAAGTCACCTCAGCAAATCTGGTCAGCTAAACATCATGAATTCTATGTAATGTTACAGATATGAGAAATTTCTCCTTTCTTTCATGTGAAATTCTGAAAAACTTCTTTCCAAAGGTTTTCATGCCTTCTACCCAGGATCAGAACAGAACTTTAATCCTCAAGGCCATCTCCATGTAAGGCTATTATTTGCTCATATGACATAAATGAATTTAAACAAACACACTAATTTAGACACTTGCTCTCAGTCACCATTCCTTCATGAACAGCCAGTGAGTGAAATTAATCCAGGCAGGAAGACAAAGCATGGAAACAGTAAATAAATAACTTCAGCAATAGAGGCATCTGACATCTTGTTTAGGAAGTGGTTAAAACTCAGCCTTCTGGAGGAGTGAACTGGAGAGTAATTTAAAGGTCTGAGAAACGGTGACTTAAACTGTGTTTTCAGATGACTGACAAGTAACTTACCACGCCCAGTTTTCGTCTTTAGACCTAATCTCTTGGTGAGAGGAGACTCTTTTATACGTCTGTTGTTGGTGTGCCCAACTACTATATCGAATTTGTTCACCCACTTGATTTAAATTGATTAAGTTGTAATAAGAGAGATAGTCCCTGAAGTATAGTGGCTTAAATTAGGTGGGATATTTTATTTCTTTCCTGCAGAACAGTCCCAGCTAATGATGACATCCAAACTGTGGCATGTCCATCTCTGAAGTGGACAAGGAAGTGATTAGAGCTATTGCTGTCTTATACCTTTAGAAAGAGAGAAAAGAAATGTAGGGGAGGGGAGCAACTTTTATAAATCTGGAAGTCATTTTCATTACTAATGCTCACTTCCCATTGGTCAAATTTGGTCACATGTCTGTAGTAAATAAGAATAAGGCTAGAAAAACTAGTCTCTAGAAGGCAGCTATATGTTAACTCTGGAGTTGATTATAGAGTTTCTATCATCAAAGATAAAAAGGAGAAGACTCTGCAAGGGTATTAGTAATTCATAATCTTCATTATACTGTGAACTCCCTGAGCATCAACAGTTTTGCTCCTTCAGCACAAAGCAGGTACTCCTTAACTATCTGCTTAACACAACCAAATATTATCAAATAGACTTTATCTGAATGTGCATTTACGTGCATAAGTCTCCCTTCAAATATTAGTTCCACAAAATAGTTCTGTGCATCGATTCACCTAAAGATTCATATTATAACCTATACCACGTATGCATTCAGTCATGGTCAATTAATGCTTATGAAATGTTCACCATGTTCCCCATACTTTGCTAGGATCTGAGCTTATGGCAAAGAATGAGGCTAATCAAATCCTTTCCTTCTAGAACCTTCATCTAGTGAGGGTGACAGATATCCAATAATTGCATCCAAATAAGTAAGTTATTTAGAAAGTACAGTATACCTTGACGGGAAAGGTCTAAGAAGTAATGGCAGTATTTAATATGAAACCTAACTTGCTTGGGAAATTCATGGAACTCTCCCCAAGAAAATTCATGTTTGTATTTAGCCAGTCAAGAAGTAATTATTGATCATCCTTTTATTTTATTTTTTTGTGTATATGTTTGTGTTCATGTATGTGTGCCTGTGCGTGTATGTGTATGTGTGCATACATGCAGGTGGGAAAAAATGGGGAGGCCAGAAACGTCAGCTATAATTCCTTAGGTACTACTGACCTTTTTTCTTTTGAGACAGGGTCTTACTATGTAGACCAGGATGGCCTAGAACTTGTTGTGTAAACCAGGTTAGCCTTGAACTCATAGAGATCCATCTGCCTGTGCTTCCTGGGTGCTGGAATTAAAAGTGGCTACCTTTACTTTTTTGATACAGGGTCTCTCATTGGTATGGAGCTCAGTGAGTTAAAGCTAAGTTTGCTGGAACAAAACAAAACAAACAAACAAACAAAAACCAAACCCAACAAAACCTTAGGATCCACAGTTCTCTATCTCTTGAATGAGATTATACGCATGTAAAATCACACTTGACATTTTTTTGTGGGTTCTGGGGTATCAAACTTGGGTCTTAATGACTGAGCTCTCCCGCTCCCTGGCCCTTATTGAATATCTTCTAACTCCTGGGTACTTTTTACAGGAATTGTGGACAGAAAAGAGGCAAAGGAAGAGTAGCAAATTCCTACATCAAAAGTACAGGGAAGAACATCTCCATCAAATAAAATAGCATTTATACTGTCCTGGAGAGGACTTTCTGGAGTTCAGGAACATCCAAGGAACTGAAGGTAATTAGTGTGTCTATAGCCAGAAGAAGAGGATGCAAGAGGAGTGAGTGCAGAGCAAAGCTGGAGAAGCAGGGTAGATTTAAGGCATGAGAAGTTTTGCCATCAGACTAAGAAAATGAGTCTTAATTCCGTAGGCACCGAGAAGGCTTTGGAAGTTTAAGACAAGGAAGGCCATGCCTTCGTTCATTTTCACTTATCAGATATTTTGGGGGCTTTATTATGTGCCAAGCTTTGACTAGGTAGTGAGTAGCCAATATGACAGATGCTTCCCGGACTATTAGACTTTGCCATCAGTTTCCTTTTCTTTAATAATGAAACCCTCGGTTGTCGGTTGGGTCTATGCAAAACTAAAGACTACATTTTCAGTCCTTCCTTGCAGAGACGATCATGTGTGGCAGGTTTGGCTGGTGAGATATAAGCTAACATATTTAAAGAATAGGAACCTTTTTGTTGTTGGTTTGTTTGCTTTGTTTGTTTGTTTTTGCATAATCTTTTTCCTTGCTATTTTGCAAAGAGAAGTTATAACTATGTCCAGACATAAAAGCGTTAAAGATAGCAGAGAAGTTAGATAGAGACACAGCCTCTTGGAAATCTGGAAGCCATCCTATCAGTCCAGGACCATTTACTTCTGGACTACCCCTACATGAGAGCAAAGCAGGCCCTTAATCTCGTTGTTAGTTTGTAACCAATGGAGAAGCTCATCTTACCTGGTGTAGTTGACAAGGTCTCAGTTCTCCTGGAGTTATATTCTACTGTGGAAAATAGGTAACAAAAAAGAAAGAGAAAGATAATTGGAAATCAGCACTGTGAGGAAAGTGGTCTTTGTGTGTGCAGATATAATGGCACAAAACATCTAACATACAAATACCAGGAGAATAATCTCATAGAAATGCTGGGGACATCAACTACTTAAGCTTGCTTCTCCATGCTCATCACACCCACAGTTTTCCCTTTAGCCACAGTGGAAGCTGCCCTGCCTTTGACCCGGGGCCAGAGGTGAATGTGTTTGTGTTTTGTTTAATGACAGACTTTGTAGTCATCTAGCCAACCTCCATTTGCAAATCACAGATTTGAGGCTAGCACAGTGGCATTATCCCGTTAGAGCTGATTAACCCTTGAAAAGCATTTAATAGACGTTTAGGATGAGAAGGCAATGATTTACTTGGGGCCTTTCCCACAGAGGAACTATGCTTCTTTTTCTTAGTATTCTGAAATTATCCCTTTAGCTGTGGGGCTAGAGGCCACAGTGAGAGTCCTTGGTGTGTATAGGCCATGTTTCTTGACTTTGTTTTTTCCTTCCCTGAGCATGACTTTTTAAAAACTTTATTTAATCTTTGAGGATTTCACACACACACACACACACACACACACACACACACACACACACATACACACACACATATATACAATGTGATTTGATTCAATCTACCCCCAAGTCCTTTCCCCTCCAACCTCTCTTAGTCCCACATTCCTATCTCCCTTACAATTTCTTGAGCTCATTATTTTTAGCCACTAAAACCAACTTGTGCTGTTGATATGAATATAAGTATGTGGGCTATCCACTGTAGCAACATGTAAAAAAAAAAATGTAAGAGCCAGAAGTTGTAGAGGACTGCTATAAAACAGCATTGTCTGGACACGAGAGGTCTTTTGTACATTTTTTCCAACATAATATTTTTATTGATTTTTTGGGAGTTCCACATAATGCACCCAAATCACATTCACTTCCCAGTCCTTCTAGGTCCACCCTCTGCCTTGTGACCTACCCCAAGAAAAAGAACAGAAAAAAATTAATTTCAATTTGTGTTGCCCATATTGTGCATTTTAACTCATGGTGGCTGTGACTACATACATCAGATCTGTATAAGGTCAAGGTCATCAAAGCTCCAGAATGGATGGGGAGGGGCTCACCAGGCTTCACTCCTTCCTGAGGAGCTATTGGTGGTTGATGGTTTCTGGGGCAGGAAGTGCCAGTCTTCTTCAGTGATAAGTAGAACTTTGATTCAGTGGGACTGATAGGCAAAGGTGCTCTTTTAATGGTTGGAACAAGAAAGGCCTAAGAAATTCTGTTCGGTCAATACAATGAATAAGATACTTGATTTTGAGTAAGCTAAAATTATTTCAAAAACTCCCGAGGCGGGTATGGCAATACACATCTGCAATACTTCCACTGAGGAGACTGAGGCAGGAAGATCTTGAGTTTGAGATCAGCCTAGGCAACACAGTAAGACCCTGTGTCAAAAAGAAAGACTCCAGACCTGAGCTCATTTGAACACTTGTTAGATCCATGAAACCTGTCCATCACTTCTGACTTGTTGCCCTGTGCTACACTTGTCTCTTACTGAATTTTAATCTTCCTATCAAGCTATATCGTAATTAATTTTTACTAGGGAGCCTTGAGGAGATGACTGAGACCATGATTTTAAGAACATTGGAAGAATGCTTCATGAACTAGATGAGAGGTTTCCTGTGAGAAGTACCAAGAGTCAGAAGAGTCTTCCTTTAGTTCTAAGTTAAGTCTTCAGTTTGCTCATCTGGTAAACAGCAGCTGTAGTGGCGATGGTCCCAGTACCAACCAGTCCTCAGGAACTATGTGTGCCTAGAAAATCGAAATGATCTACTAAGAAGGACAGAGGCATGGGTAGTTACTGTTGTACAGCAGTTGTCAAGGAGACTGAAACATTCCACCCTGCAGGAAGAAGTAAACAACTCAAAATAGCTTCAGGAAGTCCCTGAAGCTAACCAAATTCACTAGCACCTCCCACCTCCATGTACATAAAGACAGAAGTCTGCTGAGCGACATTCTAAGACAAGTTCAGCAACTGGAAGAAGCAGAGACCAGTGGAGTTGCCTGGAAGAGGCTCAGACCATCTGAACCAAAGTTTCAGGTTTCCAGATCTTGTGAGTTATAACTTATGCTGGTGATATAGCTGCCTTCGAATAATTTCTACTCCTGTAAGTAACTCCTCACCCATATTCCTGTAAGCAGCCCCAACAAAAGGCATTGGTTCACCAAGTTGGATTCCATTGCTATCGATACTCTGATCTGTTGTCAGTTCCCAGTCTGAGGTGAGTAGATAAGTGTTTGTGTCTCCCTAGGAATAGTGTCACACAACACTTAGGAATGTGGAAGCTGATCAGTCATGCACTTAAACTTAAAGAAGGTATAAAACAGGGCTTAGGGGGATGGGGGATGGAGTGAAAAACATGGCATCAAGAACATGCTCTGCCACTGTTAGCTATGTAGCCTTAGGAAAGTCCCTTAATTTCTTTGTAGTTCAGCTTCTCCATCTGCCAAAGGAAAGCAAGGGTACTGTGACAGTTAAGTAACTCCATGCATGGGGTGCATTTAGCCTAATACCTAACACCTAGTAAACATTAAGATGCAGCTTGCAAGTTTATTACTGATGATGCTTTGCCATCGTATGAGCAGTCTGCACATACTAGATGTCTTGGTTTGGCTGCCTCTGAGAAAGGGAATCTGAATCAAAGTTTTGTAAAATCAACAAAGATGTAATAGAATATCTTTCAGGAGAGATGCACCATCTGGAAGGCATGAAGTATAAAAGAAGCACTTACAGATCTTCAGAAGGACTTCTTATTAGCGTTTAGGGGATTATGTAGCAGACAGTGTTGTTTGCATTCTGCACCTTCCATCCAGGGTATCATGGGTAAATGTCTACATCCTGTTCTTTTTCAATAGAACTCCATTTTCTCCTGGATATCGCCCTTCACAAAAGGGATCCTCTTCTACACTCAAAGAATGTGTCCTGATTTCTTTGAGCTAATAAAGAATTTCCGTTTCTAATATATTATTTTGTGACTAGGCATGTGTGGTAGTAAGCATACCCCTGTGTGAGTGAGCATTCATGACATGAACATAGCCATATCAAAGACCCCAGTGTCTCAGATCCTTGGGAATAGCAAGGCCTTCTTCTGGACTGAGCATGGATGTTGACATTGTGTGCAGACAACTATAACTTCCTCCTCCTGGATGACTGCGACCTGAGACTATTCCCCTACAGAGACTGCCTATCCCCCCAACCAAGATTAGTTAGCCCACTCTCTCATTCAGTAGTTTACAATAAACACACTGCTTATCTGGGCTGCTGGTCTGTCTCCATTAGAGTGCGTGATCCACCCGATCCCAGCTTTCCTGTATGTGGGTCTGTCATTCCTTCATTTCTAGTAATCCTGATTAGGTTAATTTAAGAGCCATGCAGTTTTCTGCCAGCATTGTATTGATTGGATCTGTATCACGGTGACTGAAGTACCTCATAGAAAGGACTGAATAGGGAGGAGGATAATTTTGGCTCATAGTTTCAGACCATCATGATACAAAAAATATGGCAATGGGAGTATGAGATGGTGTCAGAGATGAAGCAGAAAGTACAAGGACAGGTAGACTCTTCAAAGACCCAGGTCTTCTGACCTACTTCAGACAGCTAGCTGCACCTCTTAAGTTTCCACAGTCTTCAAAAGAACATCACAACCTGGGGCACATGTGCTCAGAACATGGGCCCATGGGAAACATTGACAATTCAAACCATAACAGGCATGTTATTCAGTTCTGCTAATGAAAAATAATAACATTGTCTGTGGGACTTCTTAGAATTTTCCCAGAAGGTTCTAGTTCACTCTTGAATTCAGAAGGAGATGGTCCATTTCCTGTGAGAGCTTGTTTGTTCTACAAACGAGCCTGGCACTGCATGGCACCATCTTATGATTATGGAAAGTTAATGTGATACACAGCTTCTGTGCTGAGATTTGATGGAGTCCAAACACTTGACACAGGACCTTTTGACACACAAGACAACCTTAAACTCCCAATGAGCCTTCTACAGTTGTCTTCAAGTGAGACATGGATCCTGACATCACTCACAGGTATCCTCAATTACTGTTTCAACCCTGAAAAGTATAGTAGTTAGGTTTTGCTATTTATTATTTTTAGTCATTGTATACTTGTGAACTAATCATACAAAGCATTTTCTCCAAGAGAAAAAAAGTTTCCAAAGGATAGAGGGTGTCTCTTCTCAAATATGTGTGGTAAAATGAAATGAGGCTTTCACAGAGCGAATGCCTGGATCCTTGTCTTTGATCTGAGACTTGGTATCTGTGAGCTTTAGACAAATTACTTTCCTCTCAGCCTCTGACACATCATCTTTAAACTGCTGTTAATAACAGTGAATTCCCCCTCCCCTTGCAGCAAAGATCAAGTAAGCTAGCGTGTACAGGATGTACAGTGACACTTCTGAAATGCTACAGGAATGCAAAACATCAGTGACACCGTTCTCAATTACGCCATCCTGTCTCAAGTCCACCGAAAGAAGGGGGCTTTGCTGCTGACATTTTGGAGTGCTCTGACTGTTTGGTTTTGTCCCCCCCCCCCAAATCTCTGATTCTCGAGAGGAGAAATTAAAACTGGTTCCCATTCCAGGGTAACATAAAAAGGACAACTCTGAGAGGTGATTTATCCTCTTTTTCTTGGAATACTAAGCCAAGCAAAACTCAGTAAAAGGAATTTACTCAATCAAATCCTCTCAGAACAATGTATGAGCCATTCCAGAACTTTCTATGGTTTCTATTGCATAGGTACAATATGGGGAAGTTCAAATACTTGTATCCCTGGTGGGAGATAGAATTCAAAGTATAAATATAGGAAGGACTGTGACCATGTGAGGAGTTGGAAAGCTGGTCTCCAGACCAAATATCAGAGGGATGACATCTTTTAGAGCCTGAAACTCACT